ACTGACTCAACAGCACCTCCTTGTGGAAAATCTGCAGCCCACTAAATGCCAAAAAACACTGGCACAACACAGTGATGCATTCTCAGAGGACGCCACAGTTGAGGTGTGATTGTTTTGCTTAGAATTAACACAAGATGAACAAAAGGTATCTAGAATGACAAGTGACAACGACCATGGCTGAGACAGAAACCCAAAGTATAATGAAAGATGTGACTGAGACTCAGGATCAGGATGAAGACAGTTTGAGAAGAGAGATGAACTTACCTGAGTCTGCTTATGTCAGCCTGTGGAGAGAAGAGCTTGTTGTCCAGACGCTGTTTCAGTATCGACCACTTGGTGGAGCAGTATTCCTGCAGAAAAAAACAAAACAAACACAACCCGTAAACTTTCAATGAACAAAAAAAACAAACAAAATAATGAATTCAGACTTTGAGGGAAAGTTTCTCATGAAAAGACTTAGTGGTGTGTGTCTGGATACCTTCGCGGCTCTGGAGTACTTCTCGCTGTCATAGTGTCCTGCCAGCCTCAGCACGTCCTCCGTACAGTAAAAGAACTCCGAGAAGCCGTAAAACTCGCTGTTGCTGAAGTTGATGGGAGCCTGAAAAGGTCATGTTTTGGGACTTTTACTTCATGGGAGACTCAAAACAAGTTGTCCAGTGAGTAGTGATTTCAATATGAGTTCATCAATAAAGAACTCTCCTTTAAAATCAGGGTATCAAAAGGTTGTTCTGTCTGAATCTAGAAGGTACCATCTGGACATTGAAAGGAGTGTTCGTACCTGATAGACGCCCCCTGGTGACATGGTGCCGTTATGGAGACCCAGGAAGGGTCGCACGGCCTCCTGACACCGAGCCCAGTCACCCTGACCCCTCAGGTACAACGTGCGGTTGTCTCTCACAACTGTGTCTGACAGATCGACCGGCATACAGGGGTCCAGGTACGGTTTGTCCTCACTCAGGCCCGTCTGTGTGGTTAGAAACCTGGACACACAGGAAACATGGTTACATCATTTAAATTTCAGGAGCACTAAAAAAGGAGGGGTCCAGCAGCGTTTACATGTTCACCAGTTACAGCTTCTTTACCATATTCATTTGGACATAATTACCATAAACAACAGACTGCCACTACTCACCGGCTTGTAAACAATATTTTACATGATGTACCACCTGGTTGCATTTTACAGAAAATATTCAATGTGCTTCATGGCACAAAGCCGGAGGAGAATGCTGTTTTCAAAGGGAAAACACAGCTCAGAGCTTTAGTTTCGACATGCTGATGGAGAAACAGATAAATATTTTCACAAGCTTCATTAAAGCCTGAAAGAAAAGTCCTAACTACTGACAGGGGTTGTGAGAAATGCAGTCTTGATTATAAATAACAGCAGTAATAAAACTGCCATTAGAGGAGATGAAAGAGGCTACCAGTCATCTAGACCGTAGTCTTATTAACTTT